TATTACAACCACATATTAATGTCACTTCACAATTATTGCTAAAATCCCAACAAAAAAATCAGTGGAAGTTTTTTTGTTAAAATCCAAGATGAAAGGTGGAAAATGTCAGTGATGCTTTCAGAATCCTCGTTATGAGAGTTAATGTTTTTAAATTATGAAGTTTAGCTGCAGGTTTCATTTTCTTGCTGTGCATCAGTCAGCAGCTGCTCTTCTAAATGTACTTTAATTCAAATACTTAACTCTGTTGTGAAGTTGAGGATTTATAAAACATAAATGAAATGATGAAAAAACGATATGTACTTTCTTTTTCTTTCTCCTCTGTTTCTCCAACACTGAAGCGAATTATTTATTTAGCAGTTCAGGATTCTGCTTTGAAAATGTTCTCCTGTTTGTGTTTAAGGTGTGAAGGAAAGGAGGAATGTTTCATCTTTTCAAACACGCAGAGCTTCTTATTTCAGCTCAGACATGTAGAAGATAAGGATTTACGCTAAGCTGAAATTCATTCCAGAGCCGTTTGACTGCTAATCGTTGGGAATATTGGCTTTTTATCCGATGTCAGGGAAGCTCTAAACATGCTGCAGCTTCATTTCTAAGCAGGGTTGAGTTTGTTGTAGGTTTGGTTTGAGCAGAAGGTTGTTGCTTCAACGCACAGCGAGCGTATATGTAAAAATGTATTTGTTAATGTGAGACAGATGATCTGTGAAAAGACCAATCTGCTCCATCTTTTCCCTGAACTGCTATTACTGTCTGAAGAAAAGCGCCAAAAACAACCAATCAGAGCTAGGAGGCGGGTCTTATTGATGACAATCAACCTTGTGAACACGCTGCTAAATATGCTAATGATGGGGAAACAACTCACTCAACTCTGTGTCCACCATTTATGACAGGATATGCTAGTTGCAGTGTAGCACAGAGCAAGGGGCATGATTGACAGCACTAAGACCCGCCTCCTGGCTCTGATTGGTTGTTGTATTTCGTACTGGGAGCACTGGGAGAAGTCAAAGAAGCTCAGTTTTTTTCATAGATTATCTGTCTCGTATAAACTGTCACGACATGGTGACTGTTTCAACAAATATGTACAAGAATATATATTTTTTAAAGTTAAATACTGCAGCTTTCAGAGGACACGGCTGCACTGAATCTTTCAGATCCACCGCAGTAGGAGTTTGTTAGTAGGCCTGTCTGGGTAAAGGTTGGTGTTTTTCATGAATCGGAGTGTAAAATGAGTTACAGTTCATGTTTGACTGAAGCCCAACGTGTCGGAGAATCTCAGTGGACTTTAGTTTGAAGGATCTTTGAAGCGTTTTGGTGACATCCAAGGCCGTCCTGTTTGAGTCTTTCAGAATAAATTGTTAATATTTAATGAGGAGGCAGATGAGTGGAAGTAAACGGGTGAATTGAAGGTGGTGGAGTGATTTACAGAGGATCATTTGGTTTCCTCGCGTCTCGTTGCTGGTGGTTGTAAAGAATTTAAATGAGTTCATTGTGATTTTAGCTGCGTTTCAGTGTGATTGTGCTGCTGACACAGAAATCCTGGAGACGACACGAGTCTGCAGGCAGGAGAGAAATGCAGACATAATGCTGAGACGGAAACGCCTTCTGAACACACATTTCCATAAGACTGCAAGCAGAGTAAACTCATTCAACAATAATAATCGGTTTACATTGTCATTACCTAGCAATATGTTGAAAGCAACGTTGTTGTTGTGTTTCTTACAATGCACAGCAGGACTTCTGCGTTATACGTCTGTCCTTGCCTTTTCTCTGACATGACAGTTCCTCTGCAGGGACGCTGCAGAATTCAATAACACGTATTAAATCAGTTCTCTGGATTTAAATATTCATGTTTTTGGAGCATGAACAGATTCCTACATTTGCATATTGTACAGAGTCAACAAGATGAAGGGCTGCATGACTTTATGTGGCTGAATTAGCTTTGAAGCCCTCATTGGTTTTAAATTAGTTTTATAGCAACTTTTTGGGCTCCCAGTGAAAACTATAAACTCAAACTAGCTATCTACTTGTTGACTTCTGACTTTCAGCTCTGAATATGGCACACTTTAAAATAAATGTGGAATGCAGTTGGATAAAAGTTGGTCAGGATTAAAATATTTTACTGACTGACTAAAAGTGCTGTTTTTAACGCTGTTTATTCAACTGATCTTTGTCAGGTCAAAGATCAGTTGAACTTTGACCTGGCAGGTAGGAGGGTGAGAAGAATGCCTGTTCTGTCAACTACAGAACTACAAAAGAAAACTTTATCATGATTACAGTCAAACCCAAACTCATTTAAATATTTTTTTCTTTTTAAACGTATGTTTCTATTTACATTTTCTTAGAAAATGCTATGAGTTGGGGCTGAAAAACCAGCCAAAACCAGCATTTCGATATCAAAAATTGTGAATATTTATAATTATTGCTTTAAAGAGTGAGTTGCTAAGCAACCGAAGAGTGATTTAGTTGATGCCAGACACCTTGAGATGTGATGAGGTTGTTTTTCGGCTGTATTTTGCAAAACTGCAATAGAAACACTTTTTCACATCATATGAGTCACATAATCAACAGGAGGATGTTACTACTGACAAAAACTGCAAAGAAGACAAAAGGAAGTGGTTCGAGGGTGATGGCGTGGCATGTTTTTTAATGAGCAAACTTATTTACATGTGATTTCAATCCCCTTTTTGTTTTTTAAAATGGAAACGCCAAAATTGCGAATTAGTTTTTTCAAGATTAGTGGAATATCAATGAAGTTTTGCAAACATTTGTAATGGAAATGTAGCAGGACGCTGAAGGACTGGAGTTTGATGTGAGATCAGTTCAAAGTTCTTTTTTAAAAATCAGAATTAGCTTGTTTTTTTTGTTTATGCTTACAAACAAGGCATTTTTGCAGATATAAAAGGCAAAGTTTTCTGAAAACATTCATTCTGCTCATTAATGTATGCATTTTGTGCAGAACTAGCTGTAATGACAACAAATGCCAACATGTGGGAGTTTCTGCTGGCAGTTGAAGGAAACGCATCGACTTCAGGATTTGGCAGAAAGCTCCAAGTATGATTAATCACATGGAGATGAGACCAAATTCCTTTAATTTGAGCTCTAAGGAGTTTCCCTCATAAGGAATGAAGCCAAGTGACAGACGGACGGCTAAAATGATCCACTTTCATACGTGATAAGTGAAACATCACCAAGTATTAAAACATTTGCTTTTTGTCAGAAGATGCATGGTCCTGCAGGACTGGCACACACACACATTTAGTTGTTTTATTAATGTGACCTGGGAGCGTCTGTGTTAAAGTGAACGTAAACTGGCTCAGTCGGCAGCTCCTGTAGAGGGAGGAGAAGAGGAGGCGCTGCAGATCAGGGACCGAGGGAGGTCAAAGTCACTTCATTCTGTTAGTGACGTGCAAAACTCCAGATGGGTTTGGACACAAGAATGGAGAAAGAAGTCACCAAACAGGCATTATGGGGCCAAAGGTTTGACCGTCCGAAATAAATATGTGGTTCAACAGTTACTGTAAGTGTTGATATAAATGTGTAAGAAGGCTTTCACCATCACAGCAGCACTTCTCTACGCCATCTATCGATGCCACTTACAGCCGCTCGTCAGAGTGTTGTAGTTCCACTGGGTCTTTGCTAATTGCTGCTGGCTAGTTTGAAGGAGCCGAGTGAAGGAGGCATGTGGAATCAAACCCAGGATGACCACATTAAGGACTAGAGTCTCAAATTTAAGGTTGGATTATTAAAATGAATTACATTATTACAATAAAACATTAATGACTTAGAGATTCTTTCCACATCTTTGCCTTCCCTGCCTGCGCACGGCGCTGTGTTGTCATTAACATTTTGCTGTTAGCGGTCACCAAGGCCTGTTTTAACAAACGCCTGATGTTTCAGGATCGCCTGCAGACATGACACTGGTTCCACCACATCACTTAGAGTTAATGAGTCCCACATCCAGTTTGTACATTATTTCACTTAAATGCGGGCCCCTCATATTTCCGCTCTAAATAAGAAACATGGCTGGTTTCTTATTGCAGGAAATCTGCAGGCTGCAGGTTGCCATCCCTGAGCATGTCTGCTCCACTGTGCCTCTAATGACGCTCAGGTTTCTGATCTCCACCAGCGTTTGTTGGGTAACAAGGCGATAATTACAGACAGATGGAAAGCTGCTGAAAAACCAATAAAAACAACGTCTGACGGTGTCGCGGAGACGTTTCCAACTGGAAACGGATTCTTCTGTGGATCAACCGTTGAATATTGCATCAGCACATCTGCTTTTTCACTCTCCTATCTTTTATTCATATTCGACTCGGGCGGCGTTTTGCTAGACATTTTGTTGTGTGTAGATTTTGTTGCTGCAACTAATCAGTTAATTTAGCGATTAATCAAAAAAAAAAATGGTGCAGATTTTACAATCTTTTCTTAATAACATAACTACATTGAAATATGCAAATAAATAAAAAAATTATGTAATAAAATAAAAATTTTATTGCCTAAGATGCATTAACACAGGATTCCTGTTGTAAATTTGAACCAGGTGAAGCTAAAACTATCCATAAACGTATTCACAGACTAAGGTGGGTTTATCTGAAACATAAATGTATTTTTTAATAGTTTTGGCTTAATTACTGCTCTGAATATGTTGGGGGGGTTTTCACCAAATTGCCTCTTTTTTGAGGTTGTACTCCAGTTAACGATTACTTAATTACAAAAATTAGCTGACAATTATCTCAGTAATCGATTAATCATGATTAATTATGATTAATCTTATTAATTGTGTCATCCCTAGAGTAGATTCATAATTAATATAAAAAACTGATAGTGAATTTATTTCTTGTGCTTTTATTTACATAATAATGGAGAAAAACCTAAAATATCCGGACATTAATGTCTGATTACAGTAAATAATAGAAATACGTTGAAGCCCTGATTCCCCCCCCCCCCTCTTTGATCTGCGTTTTTTTGGTTCTGCTCACTCAAAGCGACCCGTTCTGTTCCAGGCTGGGATGATCCGAACCGACTCGGATGAGTATTTTATCGAGCCGCTGGAGAAAGGCACTCAGGAGCTGGAGGACCAGGGCCGGGTCCATGTGGTGTACCGGCGGTCGGCGCTGCTGCAGGCCCCCTCTGACAACTCACTGGACTACCAGCTGCAAGGTAGGAGGCCGACTGGCAGGAACCCGGCTGGTAGGATAGACCGACGTCAACTGGAGCTTCTGGATTACACAGACTTTATCTGTTTTCTTAAAGTGGGAGCAATAACTGCCAACAAATTTCTCATGAAATGTGTTTTCTTGTATAAAAAACTGGGTAGTCGAGTTGAATGATTGCTAATTATCTGTGTTCTGACTGTAAGCAGCAGCGATTTTCTGCTATTTACCAAAGCTGAAGAAAACAGAGTAACTTCTTGTTAATTTTAAAGCTTTTTGCAATCATACAAGATATGGATGGAGCTAAAACAAAATATCAAAAACAAGAAACAGATTCCCTCAATAGGAGTGGATTCACAGCACACACTGCAACCTCAAACATCCATATTTTATGTCAGTCAGTATTGAAAAACGATCTGTTACAGTCAATGTCCAATGCTTTATGGAAACTTGCAATAATTCAACAATCAACAAATGTTCTTCTTTTTTTTATTTTATTGGACTTTATTTGAAAAGACACACACCTAACATGAAGTCCTCAGTTTCCGTTTCTTTTTAAGACTCAGAATGATTCTGTTGGCGTTAAAAAACTGATACACGATTTCTGCTTTTGAGAAAACTAACTTCCATACGAGTCTGTTCAAACTAGCCTTTTAATTAGCCACATGCTAATCAACATTTGGTTTTCTGACGTGAAACAACAGAAATCCGTATTTAGGGAAGTTGTGCACAAAGTAAATAATTCAGTAAATCTTTCATTTACAGACTAATACTGCCAATAGTGCTCTGCTTCATTGGCCACTTGCTGTGTGTTTCATGTTAGCCTGTTTTTAGCTTCTTTTTAACAATCTGAAGCTGACATGCTGTTGCAGCACACAGGAGCTCAGCCCCATTATTTATCGCAGCAGGAAGGAGATCACTGTCTGAGCTGATCACTTTTCTTAACCTCTGGGAACAGAATGGAGGCACACAAAGGAAAACATGTTCAAAACCCAAACAGCGTACGCTTCCTTCTAAGTGAAAATGGAGGAACAATAGATTAAAGGGTTAACGTGGTGTGTGTGATTGATGCTGTGGGAGATTATCGCCGTTAGGCGCCGCCGCCGCCACGGCTGTGGGATTCTTTCCCCGCTCCCTCCTGGGATGTTTTAGTGTTGATTGGATTTCTTACCTTTCGCCGGCTCAGTTTCTGCCGGAGGATTGTTGAATTGATTTTATGGCTCTCCTGTTGGCAAAGACACCAGATCTGTAATTCATCCTTTTCCTTATCATCTGCTGCTGTGATCCTGAAGCTAAACGGACAAACTGACCTCAGGAAAACATTCTTTATCCACCACAACCCAAAGGTGGATGAATGGAAACGAATATAATGAACACATACCTTTATGTTCAGTGAGTTTAGGTAAAGACATTTTTAGCAGTTGGCAGTAGAGATGCTGCACTTTGAGTCTCCTTTGCTTAGCAACAGCAGCTGAGCTTCTATTAAAACACAGTTTTGGAACTGCTGTATTCCCATTACATAAGAAACAAATAAGTTTGTTCAAGTGATAAGTCATTAAAAACATGCAGCGCCGGTTGTTTATCTGCAGAAAAGATTTTCAACATAAGCTAATTGTGATACAGCAGAAAAACCACCTGATACTAGCACAAAACGTTTTATAGAAAAACATGACAGGTTTTGAAAACTGAGAAACTAATTTGTTTTCGTAATTGCAATTTGTGCAATTGTGTGATAAGTGGAAACGCAGCGGGTGTTCACACTAACCTGTTTTCTCATATTCGCTGATACAGATAGTTTAATTTTTAGTGTGGCTTTGCGTTTATTCTGAGTAAATTGTTCTTTTTTAAGCTATAGAGCATATCAGGAAGCTAGCAGATTGTGTTTCCTACCATCGTTCTGGATGCTGAGCCTTGTGTGCGGTCAGGATGCTGTGTTTGTTTTGGCATCTTCACTTCCTGTTGTGAGGCATCAGGGTCAGGCTGTGAGCTGCTGGGCCACTCGGCAGCAGAGAGGCTTCCAGTTCACCACAAGCAGAACAGAAAAGCAGCTAAAGTTTCTTCATTTTACCTTGAAAACACTGGCTCAGCAAAAAATTAATTAAGTTTAATTGTGTTCATGGTACGTCATTGTTTCTGTTGAAGCCCAGATGTGATGAATTTAAGAGGAAGCATCTCCTGATAGACCCAGAACTGGAGTCATGTTCCTGAAATTAGATATTTTTTCATTTGATTAGTTGGACTTAGTTCGTTGGGACTTTGTTAAAATATGTTCAGATTCAAAAGGTATAGTACCTTGCTAATTTCTTCAGAACAATTATTCTTGTGGCTATAAACAATTAATCAATTGAGATAAGTTTGATCATTTCCATTCTGATAATATCTTTGAAGGGCAATTTTGTTTACAGTGACTTCACCATCCATTTCATTTCATCAGATCCCAGTTATTTTGTGACCATTGTGGGTTTTTCTTCCATTAACCAAAAGGCACCAGTTTGGTGTGTTTGGTTGAACATTTTTAGATGAGAGGATTACCGTCACTCATTCATTCTCTTCTCCGCAGTACAATCTCCATATGCAGGGACAGAAGGGACATTTGCTTCACGGACGTTTCTCTGTCATAAATCAAGGAAATTCAGCCACTTGCTTTACTAGCATGTAATCTGGACAGTTAGCCATTCTTCTTGGTACAATTGATGCAGTTCAATCAAACTAACTGTTCATCTTTCCTCTGGCTGTATGAAAACTTCTGACCAGTTTCTGTTTGGTAGTTCTCGAACCAAAACTTCTCCGGTTCTCCAGGAAAGTTGGGATGTTTTTGTTTGTGTTCCCCATCGACTGTTTTTACTCTTAACTGGTAGCAGTTATTGGTTTGAAGTCAGAAACCTGCAGCGGGATCTGAGCTGCACGTCGAAGTTCAGTTCCTCTTCTGATCAAAGCCAAAAGAACAGAGAACTTAAAAAACTCAATGTTAGCCTTTTGATCTGATTTAATCTCTGCGCCTGGTTAGTGTTTCACCTCAACACCGAAGACTTCTCTGCTGCTTTGGCTGAGTTTTGATCAAGCCGGTTGGATTTACTCTATTTTGTTTCAATCAATGTCACGAATCTGTCAGAATCAAATATAAACTACAAATTAATTGTTTTTCCTGTTGAATGACTTCTAACACACCAGTTAAGCTTAATCATCTTTAACCAGAACAGTTAATCAGGGATTATTAATACATTATTTACATGTTTTTATTTCTAAATGAGCAAAATTAGACACCAAAAAAGGAAGGATTGTTTTTTTGGTGTCAAATCTCAGAATCAGAGGTAAGAGTATTGTTTTTATGTACCTCCCGCAATGACTTATGGGTAAATTTTAAGCACTTATCTGCACAAAAATATTAATTGTTCTCTTCGAACAGAAAAACTGTCTTCTATGTTTTAATCGTTTGTACTTGGATCAAATAGATCAGATTTGTCTCTCCATCCATCTGAGTCAGAGCTGGAGAGCAGCGTTGTGTTTAGCTTCGTTACCTTGCAGCTGCAAGGTTCCTGGTTTGAATCCCAGCTCTTGTTCTTCCTCCTGCGCTACAAGAGCTGAACTCTGCATTCACACCAGCCCGTTTAGCTCACTGTAATCAAACTCTAGTTTATCGTTTGGTGAGATGTGAATACTTAATTAGACCAACAACGTGAACAAACCTTAAATGCAGACCGGAAACCGCTCCAGAAGTAGGAAGTAGACTACAGCACAGGGCATTTTGGGTAAATACGACTAAAACAAACACGCAAGCCTAGTGGAAGAAATGACTTGTTGTATTTTACCAACAACAAAAGAGAAATCCTGCAGCGGCTAAAATCTGATGCTACTCTGTTTTTGTTTACATTTGGTGAAGAAGGAAGTTGTGCTCAGTGGTTTTTGTGTCATTTCCTTCTGTGGCTCTTGGTGCAGCGCCCCCTCAGGCGAGGAGGGGAACAGGTTTTTTAAAGGGTTTGGATCATTTGAGTGCAGTGACAAAGAGAAACACAGCAGCTAAAAATATAACAAATGTTCAATTTTGTTCCCCAGTTTACTGGACTGTCATCAGGAAAAAACCCTAAAGTTCACTTAGGTATGAATGTGTGTGTGTGTGTGTGTGTGGGTGTGTGTGTGGGTGTGTGTGTGTGTGTGTGTGTGTGTGTCTCCATGGTTTAGCCTGGCTACATGTAAAAGATGGATGTAAAACATGGAAGAAGTCTCTGTTCAGTTGTTTCGAAAAGCTTTAGTCTGAAGACTTGGACATTAAAATAAAATTCAAGCTCAGCTGTCAGCCACCATTTAGACACTGGTCACATCTTATAGATCCAGTCAGTTTGTGCCATTTGAAGAAAATCAAGTCGATGATGTGATTTATTAGTGTGGACGGAGCATTAAATTAAAAATAAATATCAGTTTTTTGACTTCATTTCACAGCCTCAGGACATTGTTCTGGCTAAACAGACATCAGAAAGTTAAAACTGAGCGTTAAAACGGTCTGAAAACTTCAGGCCGCAGCATGGAAAGCTGGTTCCTCTCATTCTGAGATGTGACCTCAGCTGTGGGAACCGCGCCTTTAGCAGGTCACACCAGAGAAACTTTACCTCCTGTTTATGCAACAGGAATCTAAGCAAATAATTCCCCAGATCGCTCCTTTATTTTGGCAGTTTCTCCTCTGAAGCGTGTAGAAACGAGATTCTGCAGAAAGGAAAAACAGTTGGGAACATTTTTTGTTTTCCTATAAAACACATTTCTGTAGCAGAGGTGCCAAAGAAAGCAGATGTAAGCAGGAAGGATTACATTGCTGAGGTGATGATAATCATCCCAAACATTGTTTCTTTGCAAGCTGTCGGAGATCAACGGTTTGATTCTTTGAACAGATTCATATCTGAAGGTACTGCCTCTGATATTTAATAGTTTTTATTTTTAGAGTTTAAGTTTCTGCTGCATCTGTTCTGTGAGGAGAAGCTTTTTTAAATTCCTTGTTGTACAGCAAATGTTTGAACT